CGATTATAAGGAGCTTTGGGGTTTATCTTCTCCGGTAGCGAAATACGACTGTTTTTTTTCTCCAGAATTTATTAGGTTTTCACGAGAAGGTTTCTCCGTCGTTTCGAGTTTCACGATTTCGCCATATCCGTTTCATCCTCAGAGGGAAACGTACGAATTCGGCGAATTTGTTTACGTTTTCGAATTCGGGGTTAAAGCTACGGATTCGCATTAGGTCCATAGAGTATTGAGCCGAATTGCGAGAGGAATCGATACTTTTCGAGGTTTTTTCTCTCTGGAGATTACCGAGAAGCGGATTTGTTGTTTGATGAAATTAGGGTTTTGGGAATCGGAATCTTGATGGTTGTTTTGGAATCGGGTTACTGAGTTAGGACATGATTCTGAAACGGACTTTGACATTCGAGAATCAGAATCTGAAGCGGTGCAAAATTGATTCAGAAATTGATTATGGGAGCAAAAAGGGTGAGATTATGGTTTATCGGAAGAGACAAAGAGCAACCGTGGATCAACCATGTAAAGAAGAATCCGAAGATCGTACAAGTAGTAGCGCAGGCTCCTTGACAAGTAAAGAGTCTCAGCTTGGCTCTGACCAGTCTAATAATATGTCCTCGCGTGGCAGAGTTCGAGTGATTCCTTCAAGGTTCAACGATTCCGTTGTTGCTGCATGGAAAACTAAAAGCCGCAAGGTCGAGTCGATGGAGTCTAGCCATGACGAAGTGAAGAAAGTCAAAGGTGGTGGTCATGATAAGAGTGGAAGCTCGAAATTGCATCTCAACAAAGGCTCGAAGCTGTTTTCACGTAAGGATAACGAAGACAGCAGCGAAGTTGATTTTGAAGATTGGAACAGTGAAAAAGATGCGAATATCAGAAGTTCAATGTTATCTTCCTCCGACGACGCTAATTCTCTTCCCGTGAGAGGTAGAAAAAAGTCTTATGGAGGGTTTAGTCTTGCCGACACGAAGAAGGGCGTGTACAAGCCAGAGGATTTTGCGGTTGGCGATCTTGTCTGGGCTAAGTGTGGGAAAAGATTTCCAGCATGGCCGGCTAAGGTGATTGATCCGATTTCACAAGCGCCTACTTCGGTCTTGAAACATAGCGTTCCGGGCTCACTTTGTGTTATGTTTTTTGGGCACTCAAAGAATGGAACCCAGAGGGTACTAACCTTTTCTTAATCTCTCTGTCTTCAAGCTTATTTTTACGATATGTCTCTGAAAGTACTGGTCATTTGCAGGACTATGGATGGGTCAGACAAGGAATGATGTTTCCGTTTACGGAATTTATGGACAAGTAAGTAGATGAGACATTTTCTCTGGAATCTTTCATGCTTGTCTATTTGTTCTGTTCCTTAGTCTTCTGTCTCTTTAGATTTCAGGATCAGACAACCTTGTACAATTACAAGCCAAGTGAATTTAAGAAGGCACTCGAGGAAGCAGTTTTAGCTGAGAATGGGGTTGAAGGTAATTGTGGAGCTGTTGAAATCAGCTGCCCAGATTCCTCTGCCACTGAATCCGACGTGGAGCATGGACCTTCCTCTAGAATTCAGGCACGTTTTCTTGACACCTATTCCTTTTTCTTTGTTAGATCTTCAAATTTTGCGTTTAAATTGATTTGAGAAGACCTAGCAAATCAGTTGAGGACAAGTTCTTACTTTTAAGCTCAGCAGTCGGTTTTATAGGCATCCTGTATAGTTCATAAGCACCTATATATGGCAATATACTTTTTGTTCTTAGTCATGAAGGCATCATATATGGGCGTGGATGTACTGTTTGTATCTGATTCATTCACAGTTAATGGGAATGCTTCCTCTTAAACAATGTGCTGAATCTTTTTTTTTTMTGTAGGGCTCATGTCATGTGGACATAAGGACCTGCGACGGCTGTGACACAGTAATGCCACTAAAATCTTTAAAAAGGACAAAAGGCTCACAACCTGAAGAGTTTTTATGCAAACACTGTTCAAAGGTTCTTAGACAATTTCTTTACTCTTTGGTTTTCTTTTGGGCAAAAGGAATTGAATCCAAATTTGTTGTTTCAGTCACGGAATTCCAATCAGTATTGTGGCATTTGCAAGAGATTATGGCACCCTTCAGACACTGGAGATTGGGTGAGAATATTTTTGACCGTTTCTGATGAAATACTGACCTAAGTGATAAATTAATACATCTTGTAACTGACACGATTGATGGAATAGGTATGTTGTGATGGGTGTGATATATGGGTACACGCTGGGTGTGACAACATTTCGGACAAGCGCTTTAAGGTGCAGTTCCTTATGTGATATCAATTTTTGATTCTAAGTACTTAAGACTATTTTCGAAAGATTGGACTAATTTGGTTATCATCTTAAGGAACTGGAGCACAACAATTACCATTGTCCTCATTGCAGAGCACAGCATGAGCGTGCCCCAACAATATTAGAAGAACAGAACTCAGTATTCAAGTATGTTGCTCTCATTTTACTCTTTTGGAAACATGGCTTCTCCTGCTTCTGTTGTTTGCATTGCTTTGTTTGTCATTCTTTTATCTGAAAACTGTCCTCACAACCTTTGCGAGACAGGTCTACAGAAAAAACTACAGAGACTGAGCTGCCTAATGAGATTACTGTAGTCTGCAATGGCATGGAAGGGACATATTTCCGAAAGTTTCATGCGTAAGTGTTAGATGTATCAGCCTTGCATTTCAATTTCTTCATTTAAACAGAGTTTTAATATAGTTACACAACACAATTTATCAATATTTGGTATTGCTTGTCATAAAATGATTTTTCTTGTAAAACTACAATACACACTCTATCCTAGGTGTCTGTTATCAATTCCTTTTTGTTTTAGTTGTGAGACCAACACAATTATCTTGGAATATTGTTTTCAGAATTGAGTGCAAGTGCGGTTTATGTGGAGCAAGGAAGCAGTCACCAAGTGAATGGGAAAGGCATACTGGCTGCAGAGCCAAAAAGTGGAAGTACAGTGTAAAAGTGAAAGGCACAATGCTAACTCTAGAAAAATGGGTACGCCCCTTATACTGTACTCTCTCATAAAGCTGGCCCTTATATATACCCCTGAAATCGGCATTATTTATGTCTGCGAGATTTAATGCTGACAACAAGGTACTGCAGATTGGAGGCTCTGGTGCAGATACTCTAGAACCCCAGATGTTGGATAAGCAGAGGTTGCTCACTTTGCTGGAAGGTAGATTTACAGCTCAACTCTTTAGCATTGGCATCCCTTTTGAAGTTCAGACTTGGTAGATTTGCTTACTACTTATTTTGTATGCACAGAAAAGTATGAGCCAGTCAGTGCAAAGTGGACGACTGAAAGGTGTGCTGTATGTAGATGGGTAGAAGACTGGGAGGAAAATAAAATGATAATCTGTAACAGGTTACTCTATGGCCATTTTGGTTTTGCTGAAGTCTACAGCGATTGTATAATGAAACATGGAGTCATAAATTTTTAATCTAAACAAAACTTTTGAATATGTCATCAGATGTCAAGTAGCTGTGCACCAAGAATGCTATGGGGTAAGCAAATCACAAGACCTCGCCTCCTGGGTGTGTAGAGCATGTGAAACACCAGATGTTGAGAGAGAGTGTTGTCTTTGTCCTGTAAAAGGTATTACTGGATAATTAGCTCACTAGATGTTTTTCATCTTCTTGCGTTAGTGATGGCTTATTTTTGAGTTTTGACTGTCCTATCACAAGGTCACATTTAGTACAGAGGTGCTATAAATTGAACTCATTTTCCATTTCTCTATACTTCTTTCCTGAATCTTAAACTGAATTTCCCTTTCATTTATGTAGGTGGTGCTTTAAAACCAAGCGACGTTGAGGGTTTGTGGGTTCATGTAACATGTGCTTGGTTCCGGCCGGAAGTTGGGTTTTTAAATCACGAAAATATGGAGCCTGCTATTGGACTTTTCAGAATTCCAGTAAATTCATTTCTTAAGGTATGATGAAATGGTGGAAGCAACGTTTTTTTAATTGTATTTTATAACATTTGACATCTGATATTTTTCTGAAAATATCGTTTAGGTTTGCACCATTTGTAGGCAAACACATGGTTCCTGCGTGCACTGCTGCAAGTGTGCCACTCATTTCCACGCAATGTGTGCATCACGGGCAGGTTACAACATGGAGGTTAGTCCTTAATCTGCTTAGCCTCTGTTGTGCCTACGAGAATCTTCGTTTTTCATATTAATATCTTAATAAAGGTGTCCTGTTAGTTGATCGTCTTAGAGTTGTGTAACTGATGCTGTTTTCTGTGGAAATATTAGTTGCACTGCCTGGAGAAGGATGGTGTGCAGAGAACCAGGAAGTCAATTTACTGTGCTTTTCACAGGTTTTTGTTTTTCCGGCATATTCGTTAATTGATCTGTTATGTAACATTGGAACCTGCTGATCGCCTGTAACATTTAAACCACTATGTAGGAAGCCAGATCCAAATAGTAATGTAGTTGTGCACACACCCGCAGGAGTCTTTGGCTCTAGAAATTTGCTTCAGAATCAAAATGGGCGCATCAAAGGTTCAAGACTCGTATTGACAAAGAAGATAAAGCTGCTAGGTTCCGGAATCCAACCCCAAGCCGAACAAATCCATGCATTTGATTCTTTTTCTGCAGCTAGATGTCGTATCTATAGTAGATCAAACACGAAGGTATGCATCTGAGGATCTCATTTAGTTGTGGACATTGGACAGTCTTTCATTCTTCAATAGTCCCTTGCAAAACGAATTCAAATTGGTACTATTGTGTCTCTGTTACTGCTGATGTTTCAGAAAATTGATCTGGAAGCGATATACCACAGGCTGAAGGGACCAAGTCATCATTCTTTGGGTGCAATCGAGAATCTAAACTCTTTTAAGGAAAGTTTCTCATTCAGAGCACCAATTATGCCAGTGGTTTGCTTTCTTGTGACAATTTCTTTCTGAATATCTCAGTAAAATCTTGATTTCCTTTTACTTTGTTACATCAGGAAGCAGATACATCAGGTTTTACCTCATTCAAAGAACGGCTTAAGCATTTGCAGGTAAACGTTGATTCAAGAAGAGATTAATATTTTCTCCATCTTGTTATCCTATAATCTTAATAAAGAATATTATCTTCTTTAGAGGACGGAAAATCTTCGGGTCTGCTTTGGTAAATCTGGCATACACGGATGGGGTCTCTTTGCAAGGAAAAGTATTCAAGAAGGAGAAATGGTTATTTACTTTACGCCGAACTATTCATGATTTTGATGGCGAAATTGAATGTAATTTGCATTATGAAGGAACTACTGATACCAAAAGTCTTGTGCAGATCATCGAGTATCGTGGGGTGAAAGTTAGGAGAAGTGTTGCAGATCTGCGAGAGGCAAACTATCGTTCTCAAGGCAAAGATTGTTATGTAAGTTCCGATTGCTTGCTTACTTAACATTATCCGCTGCTTCCAATGGTCAACTTATCGTTTAACAATGCAGCTATTCAAGATAAGTGAAGAGATAGTGATTGATGCCACAAACTCTGGAAACATAGCACGATTGATCAATCATTCAGTAAGCTTCCCCAAATCGACACAGTAGACCGAAACTTAGTAGTAACTAGAACTAACGATGTTCATGTCTTGTGCAGTGTATGCCCAATTGCTATGCACGTATAGTGAGTATGGGTGATGGAGAAGAGAACCGAATCGTCCTCATAGCAAAAACCGATGTCTCGGCTGGCGAAGAGCTTACGTAACACTTATATTTTCCGCTTTCTCTTCCCGTAGAATAATATATTTCTTCATTCAAGTTAAATAACCTTTGATCATGAAAACCTATTCCTGCAGGTATGATTATCTCTTTGAAGTTGATGAATCTGAAGATATCAAAGTGCCTTGCCTTTGTCGAGCTCCTAACTGCCGCAAGTTCATGAACTGATAAGAGCTCTTTGAAGTCGAAACCATTCTTGCAGCGGATTTGAACGGTAGCGGCAGTTGCTGGTTCATGCTGACTGACTTCTTTCCGATTGATTCATTAAATTGTACATTCGCCGGTTACATTTCCCGGCGTGGCAATTTTGTAAATGTGTAGGATTTTTTTTACCTCATAGCCATAGGCAACAAAAGAATACTTATTAATATTTGATTTGAGTGATCCTTAAAGGTCTACAGTGTTCAAGTGTTTATAGCTTTTATTTTCTTAAGAAATATTGTTACTAAATCTTCTACTATAAATCATCTCGATTTGATTGGATTGATCATGAACAAGTAAAAAATCACACTGGGTAAATGTAGCTCTCGGTCTAGTGATGCTAAACCGGGTTCGAAGCGATATAAAATCGTATTTTGACTATTCAGATCTGAGAGATGTGTGGGGGCCAGAAAGTTTGTTACAGGGGTAAATACACGTCATTTGAAATTCAAATTTTTCGAATTCGCTGCGTCGTCTCCTTCGCGGGTATATAATCACTACAACGATTCACAGAGCTATAACAAAATTCGAATCAATTTTCTTCATAACAAACTAGCGATT